CATCTCGGGCAGCATCCACTACGCCCGCGTCCCGCGCCCCGCCTGGAGGGACCGGCTCCTCAAGATGTACATGAGCGGGCTCAGCGCCGTGCAGGTGTAAGTGACAGGGACAGCCCTGATGGCACACAGCCCACAGCCACCGTGGCCCCTGGAGGGCTCTGGGGTCCCCGGAGCAAAGCCACGGGTGTTATCAGAGCACAGGGAGCGAGGAGCCAACCCTTGCACTGGGCTGACTGGGACCCCCAGTATGGCCTTGCCAACCACAAACACGAGCCTGGGTTAGTTCCAGTCAAAACTCCATCCTCAACCCAGGCTGGAGGCCACTTCCCAGGAGTAGAGGGACCAGCCTGTGGGATGGTTCCCAGCCGTGCCGGGGTGCCCTGAGCCCCCACAAGCTGATCTCCCCTCTCACCCCAGCTACATCCCCTGGAACTACCACGAGCCGCTGCCGGGGGTTTATGACTTTGCTGGGGACCGGGATGTGGAAGCCTTCCTGGACCTGACAGCCAAGCTCGGGCTTCTGGTGATCCTGCGGCCGGGGCCCTACATCTGTGCGGAGTGGGAGATGGTGAGCCCCAGCCCCCCTGGGCCCAGCACGGAGGGGTGACGGGTGGCCTGGGAAGGGCACAGTGGGGTTGGCACTAGTGGCTGGCACGCTGACCCTGGTGCCATGCCAGCCGTTCCCGGGCTGCTGCCTCATGGGGCACCTCATGGTGCCACCCTGGCACCGAGCATTAGCACTGCGCTGGCCGTGTTTTGGCTGTGTGCCAGCCCGGGCTGCTGAGCTGTGTCTCTGTCCCCACCACCTCTGCTGTGCCTGTTTCTCCAGGGTGGCCTGCCTGCCTGGCTGCTGTGGAAACCAGACATCGTCCTGCGCTCCTCCCACCCTGGTGAGCCTCGGCATGGGGCTCTGGCCACCATGTCATAGAATCATATGGGGTTGGAAGGGACTTCTGGAGATCATCTAGTCCAACCCCCCCACCAAAGCGGGTCCACCTAGAGCAGGTTGCACAGAAACTTGTCCAGACCGCTTTTGAATGTCTCCAGAGAAGGAGACTCCACCACCTCTCTGGGCAGCTTGTTCCAGTGCTCTACCACATGTCCTTGCAGCCTGGTGCCAGCCCTGGCACACCAGTCTCTCTCCATGTACCTGGCAGCCCTCCTGCGTCATCTCTCCCATCCTCTTCTCCACCTCCATCTTCTTGGAGCTCCTCATCGTGCACAGCACTACCCCGTCTTCTCCGTCATCCTCCTGGCAGGGCTGGCTGTGGGTGGGCTGGGGTGGATGCTGCAGCCAGACTGAGCTGCCCTCTCTCTTCCCAGCCTACCTGGCAGCCGTGGACTCCTGGCTCCATGTCCTGCTACCCAAGATCAAACCACGGCTGTACCAGCATGGGGGGAACATTATCAGTGTGCAGGTAGGGTGCTGTGGGACCTGGCCCCCACCCCTGCTCTGGGTCATCTTTGGACATGCCCCAAAAAGCCACCTGTACCCCCTACACCATGCCCTCATCTGGCACAGCTATTAGATAAATCCCTCCCCACCTCTGGACCTGGGTTTAAATCCAAGGGCTGGGACTCTGGGGTACCTGCCACCACTCTGGTTGTGGTTTGAGGGGCGCTGGCAGAGCTGGGGGTCATAGTGGGGCTGGAAGGTCGGTTTCAGGATGCACCTGGGGGCTGTCACGACATGTAAGGGTGTCAGGAGGAAAGTGGGGAGCTGGGTGGTCATCCCAGTGCGCGGCGGGACCTGGCTGCGTGGTGCACGCTGGGTGCTGGCCCCTGCCCTGCTTGCAGGTGGAGAACGAATACGGGAGCTACTACGCCTGCGACTACGAGTACCTGCGGCACCTGCTGGGCTCCTTCCGGGCGCTGCTGGGGACAGAGGTGCTGCTCTTCACCACCGACGGCACGCAGGCGTGGGAGCTGCGCTGCGGCACGCTGCAAGGGCTCTACGCCACCATCGACTTCGGGCCAGGTACCCCTATGGAGGAAGAGGAAGACGAGGAGGAGGAGAGGGGATAGGGGGGTCCCAGCTCCATCCTGCTCCAACCTCCCTCCCACCACCTCTGCAGACTCCAACGTGACGGAGGCATTTGGTGCCCAGCGCCGGGTGGAACCGAAGGGACCCCTGGTGAGCTTAGGATGGGCACCGTGGGGGGAAATGACCCGTGATGGTTTTGGGGAGGCAGAGGAGCTGGGGGGAGAGGGGGAGGGCAAGGTAAAGAGGGGTGCCGGGGCCAGGCTACAGGTGAGCTGGGGGGATGTGACTGACAGAGGGGTGCCTGGACCTGGAGCCCCAGCTCTGCACAGGTGACACTCCTGAGTGTCACTTTCTCCCCCAGGTGAACTCCGAGTACTACACGGGCTGGCTGGACTACTGGGGGGGGGCTCACGCCAGCACCAGCCCGGCACGGGTGGCCCAGGGGCTGGAGGACATGCTGGAGCTGGGAGCCAGTGTCAACATGCAAGTAGTCAGCTGGGAGGGGGGACAGCCTGGGAGAGGGGGGCTACCCCTATGGAGGAAGAGGAAGACGAGGAGGAGGAGAGGGGATAGGGGGGTCCCAGCTCCGTCCTGCTCCAACCTCCCTCCCACCACCTCTGCAGACTCCAACGTGACGGAGGCATTTGGTGCCCAGCGCCGGGTGGAACCGAAGGGACCCCTGGTGAGCTTAGGATGGGCACCGTGGGGGGAAATGACCCGTGATGGTTTTGGGGAGGCAGAGGAGCTGGGGGGAGAGGGGGAGGGCAAGGTAAAGAGGGGTGCCGGGGCCAGGCTACAGGTGAGCTGGGGGGATGTGACTGACAGAGGGGTGCCTGGACCTGGAGCCCCAGCTCTGCACAGGTGACACTCCTGAGTGTCACTTTCTCCCCCAGGTGAACTCCGAGTACTACACGGGCTGGCTGGACTACTGGGGGGGCGCTCACGCCAGCACCAGCTCAGCACGGGTGGCCCAGGGGCTGGAGGACATGCTGGAGCTGGGAGCCAGCGTCAACATGCAAGTAGTCAGCTGGCGGGGGGACAGCCTGGGAGAGGGGGGTGATGCCCTCCCATCTGCCAGCATTGGAGTGGGCATCACCGCTTGCCTTCGTCCCGAGGGGGTAGTGCCTGGTGACACCCCTGCTGGGTTTGGGGGGTGCTGACAGGGCTCTCTGGGGTGTCCCATAGGTACATGTTCCATGGGGGAACGAACTTCGCCTACTGGAGCGGTGAGTAGGGCCCTGTCCTGGGGAGGGGGGTCTCAGTTCTGGGTCATGCCCCCCCCGTTGCATTGCAGCCAGCCTGGAGCTGGGTTTCGTGCCCTGGGCTCTGCCAGAGCGCTTTCCTCCTGCTCCCATCCTTTCCCCGGCCAGGTGCTGACTTCAAGGACCAGTACAAACCAGTGACCACCAGCTACGACTATGATGCCCCCCTCTCGGAGGCAGGAGACCTCACTGAGAAGCTGTTTGCCATCCGCACGGTCATCAGCAAGGTGCTGAGCCTGGCAGGGGGAGGGGGACAGTGCCAGGCCCTGCTCCCTGAGCCAGGGAAGAGGGGGACACAGAGGGACGTGGCAGGGCAGGGGACATCTCCCTGCTTGCTCCGGGGGGCAGCTGACAGTTTGCTGTTCAGTTCCAGCCCCTGCCAGTCGGTCCGATGCCACCCGCCACCCCCAAGTATGCCTACGGCAGGGTGGTCCTGCAGAAGGTGAGTGCTTGCTCTGGGGGCTGTGCTGTCCCTGCCTGGCACTGCCCAGCTGCCCTGTGCCCATCCCTCTCTTTGCAGCATGCTGACCTCCTGGATGTCTTGGATGTGCTGTGCCCCTCTGGGCCCATCCAGAGCCAGTTCCCCCTCACCTTTGAGGCCATAAAGCAGGTAAAGGGCTGGGTGAGGTGGGGGAGATGCTCCTAGGCTTATCTCCCCTGCCCTGGCTCTGGGGTGGAGGAGCAGAGCTCATCACCAACCCTGTGTGTGCTGGTCCCTTTTCTGTGCCACTCGCTGTGTCCCGCAGGTCCATGGCTTTGTGCTGTACCGTACACAGCTGCCTCGGGATGTCGTGGACCCAGCCACGCTGGGGGCTCCTCCCCACAGTGTCTGCGACCGTGGCTACGTGATGCTGCAGCAGGTGAGGCTGCAGGAGCACACCCCATCCCTGGTCCAACGCTCAGGAGGGCTGTGGGACCTGCCAGCAGCAGGGCCAGGATCTTGGGGACAGCCCAGGTGCTGAGAGCCGCACTGAGCCCTTGTGGAGCAGCCCTCTGGCCCGAATTTGCCCCCTTTGGGGTGCAGAGGGGTGGGCTGTGGTGGGGCAGGATGGGCGATGCTATGCTGGCAGGCTGCTGGCAGTGTTCCGGACAGGGGGATCTGCCCCTGTGGCTGCAGGAGTACCAGGGGACACTGGAGCGGGACGGGCAGACAACGCTGCGTGTGACGGGCAGGGAAGGAGACACTCTGGACGTGCTCCTGGAGAACATGGGCAGGATCAGCTTCGGCGCCAACATCAGTGACTTCAAGGTGAGGGGAGAGGGCCCCAGAGGAGATGGCCTGGACAAACACCCCCTCTCCTGCCACCCACAACAGACCCCAGCCACGGTGGGGCCACCCCCAAACCTGCTCCTTGCTCCATCTCACACCGTCCCCTGGCACACCTGGCAGGAGGGTAAGGCTGTGAGATGGGTGCCACTCTCTCCCAGTTGTGTCACCACGGCAGCCGGGACAGAGCAGCCCCTCAGAGGGGATCCCATCCCACCTCTACTGCTGTGAGGGTGATGTGACCTGGGGAAGATAAGCATCCCCCTGCTCTCTCTTTTTCCCTCCTGCTCCATTTCAGGGCTTGCTGAGGAACCTCTCCTTGGACTCAAGCCCTCTCAGCAACTGGCTCATCTACCCCCTGGCCATAGACACTGCCATCCAGCAGGGCTGGC